GCTTCTCTCAAGGGAACCAGAGGTAGTGCTTCAAATGCTGCTTCTCAAACTGGGGCACACATCTGGAATACGTAATCGCTCTTTATTTGTTTAATCAAAGAAAAATATCATCACACATATATTACCTAGGCACTGTAGAAGTTTAGGAAAGTCGGTGTGGCAAAACCAAAAACCTAAAATTGCCCTGAGATTCCCACTCCTGATGCTACTGCGTGTCCTTGCAGATGCTTTCGAGGCAGGCATGCATGCACCTTATGTGTCGACACATGTGTACGCGTCTGCAGACACGCCTCTTGCTTGGAGTTTCTTCTTGGTGGAGGTTTGGGTCTGTCTCAGTGAAGCACTCTCTGTCGAGGGGCTCTGGCCCTGGAAGATCCCTCCAGGGTCTGGATAAACTGTCGGAAAGGTGAGGTTGATTCTCGTTCTTTGGAGCAGTGCCAAGCACACTCTAGCTGGCAGCCAGCCTCGGCAGCTCCTTCCGTGATCAACACAATCCCCAAATTCAAGGGCATCTCACTCTCTATGCATGTGTTCTCTCCATTGCCTTCTGCCTGGGGTTTCTTCCTCATCTCAATATTTCAGTGCCTGAAACAAAGGAGGCAGTGAGGTTTGTCATGGTAGGACTGCCCACACCATCCTTTTTGGGCAGGCACAGATTAGAGAGTCAGGAGCAAAGCTGTGCTCAGTGTCCAGGCATCCCCAGCCCAGGTGACCATCTCTCATGGTCCTCAGTTTCAAGGGAGTATCCCAACCAAGCTATGCCAACATTCACTTTGCTACTCTTAAGTACACAAAGCCAGGGAACCAGTCCTCCTAGGGTCAGCCCCTGAGTGAAAGCTGACTCATCCACTCTCCCCTCTCAGGGTCCCAGGGCTCTGAGCTCTGCTGCTTCCTGCTGGCTTCTCAAACTGTCAGATCATAGGAAATTTCAAAGATTGCATGGTATTTATATAGCCATTTTTAAAGGATGAAGTTGGAGGCACTGTGGGTTTCCACTCATTCAGGAACCACTAAATGATGAGGAACATCATTTCAATGAAAGCTCTGGAAAACTCTCACAAACAACGATTCCCAAAGAGTGGCCAAAATGTCACATGAAACCAGGCCCACTGATCTACAATGAGAGGTCCATGTGTGTTTTGACTCTCAACAATGGCTGCCAAGTCTTTAAGAATAAAATCATGTGATATCCTGGCTAAGATTCCCAGTGTTCTGTGGAAAGTCACCCTGGGCTTCGATCTCAGTTTCCAGGGGGGATTCTCATGCGTGGCCTCAGAAAATCCCAACTCAATTCATGGCAAAACTTCTCTGAGGTCAGTTCCAGTACTCAGTCTTTAAGGAGAATCACACCAGAGTTCAAGCCCAGGCAGACCCAGTCATCTCTTCCACCGCCACACAAATGACCACAATTCAAACCAAAACACTGCCACAAGGCCCTCATCTTCTTCCACATAGACAATCCTCATAACCTCTTGCTGGAGTTTTCCATGAGGGGCGCAGCCTAAGACAGTGTCCACAATAAGCTTCCTTGCCCCTCATTTACCTAATGTCAGGGTGGCCTGGACACCCTTTCTTTGAACCAGGAGTGATCAAATAGGCCTGCCTTTAATACTGCTCAGCTTCTCCACTTGGAGGCCTGCTGATGGTAAGGTATAGATTTTTTGTGTGAATTGGAGTCATGAGAAAACCCAAGCACCTAATGGCTAGCCTCTGCAGGGCTTTGAAGAACACATTTGACACAAAGGATCAGTATTCTCACTTGATAGAGGTCAGGAACCTTACAGAGGAAGGCGAGAGACTTCATCCACAATGACTGCTTTTTTGCCATATTGGCTTTGGATGCACATATGGGAGCTTTCTTGAGATCCATCAGGTGCTGACAATCTAAGCCACAGCCTCACACAGGGCCAAGAGGCTGATTCAGACACATCCCTATGCAAAGCAATTAAGCAAAGAGAAACAGGTGATGACCATTTCAAATGTTTGCATTTGAAAACAGTTTTCTTGAGGCTTCACAAAGATGTGTCCTGAGGCAAAGACCTTGCTGACATCCAGGGAAACAGAACAATAGGTAAGCAAAAGGCCCAAAGCAGGGTGTCTCCACTGAGATTTACTGGGCCAACTGATATCTGAGATTTCTGAGATGCTCCCCATTCCTTTCAGCTATACAGCACATGGCCATGTCACCAAGCTTGGAGGTGGTACATATCTTGGACACAAAACCATGAGCCTATTCTGTAGAGTGGCCAGAATTCAGGAAGAAAACAGAAAATTAGGAAGAAAGTAGGTGTTGCCCATGGATAAGGCAAGCCGAAGTCCATTCATAAATAGGGCAGGATGAATGCTAGAAGCTTTCTACTAGACAGGACACATCCATTGATGCACTCTCTTTTCTAATGTCTACAACCACAGACACAGAGGGATACACAGACATAGCAACACTCGCCTTGTCAAAAGACTTGCTAGAAACAGTAAACTCCAAACCAAACAAAGAACCTTTCCTAGCTCTTCTCAGAACATGAGACAAAACAACAAACTCACACCCACTCCCACAAAGCCACCTCCTTCCCCCAAAGAGGTCTGTGACTACCCGCAGTGTCCTCTGACTGGTGGGCCATACTATGTTCCACCGAAATGGCCTGTCCTGTCTCAGATCTGGCCTCCTTGGCCAATTCTGTGAAGTTGTCAGGAGCCAGGGGTGAGCTACCACCTGCTTTCTAAGGACAGACCCCCTTAAGAGATTTCCTTGCAATTGGCCATCCTCACATCTATAGGTACCAAGAAAGACTGACTCTGTCCTTGGTAAATCCAAACAAGTGAGCCCACTGGGACTGGTTCTGAGACTGCCTCTGGGTGCCTGGCTTCCTGGATCCCAAGTTCAGAGAGTTCCATCACCAAGGAAGTGTGGTGAGGTCACCTCTTTCAGGAACTGAATGAGGTCACTGCCTTGGAAACCACTTTGTCCTAACTATTGCTTCTAAGGGTCCCATGAGATGGAGGGTGCCCCTGCTTCGTGTGACACTTTCACAAGTTAGAATGGTATATCAACCATAGGAACCTAGGAAAAGCTCTCCACACAGGCCTGGTTTGGTCCATCTTGTCTACATTAAGAAGAGAGAGGCTCATTCAGTCCCATCCCTTCATCCTGACCAGGTTGTTTGCCACGGAAGATGACTTTTGCTCTCTCAGGTCCTTCCTAGCTGCCTACATCTTCTCCAAGGATCATTTCTGCATGGACCTTTGAGGTTCTCAGCAGGTGGAAGATCCCCTACTTTCCTGTATTGTAAGACCAACTCTGTTCCTGCTCTTCTGTAAAGTTAGATTGAGGGAACATTGTATGCTTGGGGTTAAGAACATGTTCCACTTGGGTTAGGAATCATTCTGCTAAATAAAGAATGGTATTGGGAACCTGTGATATTTATAATAATATAGAGGTGAAATATATGTATGAAAACAGAAATATAAGTAAGATTTGAAGGCCAGAAGGGCATTGGGCCCTTGATTGGGATACTTAGCTTTGAATTACATTCTGTACAGATGTCTCCGATAAATCCATATATAAAGGCACAGGACCTTGTACCTTGGATGATTCAATGTAGAAGAAAACATCCAGTCAAAAAGGGATAGTAGGTAGGATTAGGAAGATAGTCAGTAGGTTTTGGAAGAAGAGTGAGTATAATATTTGGACCAAAAGTTCTTTAGCAATAGGGTGTCTGTTAGAGAGTGAATGTAAATATCAGCACATGTGAAGAATCAGTCACAATGATGAACTGGGGAAGATATGTAGGAAAGCAGATATGAATATAGACATTAGGAAATCAGCAAAGTATAAAGTGAGTGATTGGATTAGACATTTTCAACAGGGTTGATGTTGAATATATAATCTTAGGCAGAAACAAATATGTAGTAACCAATAGGATTGACATTTGAGAGCATTAGGCAACCTGGACAAGGATGTTTTTAGTAATCCATGCTCACTTTCCAAATAGGCTTTGGTACAATCATAAGTGTGACCTTTGCATTTTGTGTCCAGAATATCACTGTGATAAAATGTATATGTAGATCAGGTGACATGAGTATTTCTTCCACCATTTTTGGGAGCAATATGTTGAAGATCTATAAATTAGCATTCGGGGTACAAATAGGTGTACCCTGGGTCTATGAGTATAGAGATAATGCATGAATAGACCATACTGTGAATAAAGAATATAAAT